TATTAAAATAATGTTGTCATTTCAAATACTTCTTTCTCAAAATAATACATAAATCAATGATTTCAAAGATATACATATATTATTACAGTTAAAGAGTATATGATGAAGTTGAATAATTATAAAACATACAAATTATCATACAAAATTAAATTACACAATAATAACAAAAAAATTCAATATGTATCTTCTTTTTTTTGTAAATCAAGATTACTGATAAAAATTTAAAAAAAAAATCACTAAAAAAAAATTTAAAAATATCAACTTTTTTCTTTTACAAATTAACAAAGAAAGAGCATCGATGGAGTAGGAAAAAAAAACTTCATTCAGTTCATATAGACATGATTTTGAAGCTTTCCAGAAAAGACAAAAGACATATCTTACCGGCAAGTAGATTCATATAGCATCGAAATAAACAAATAAACAATAGATGGTAAAGCCTTGATTCCCACCATGGGAAACACATCTCATTCTCCCCCCAAAGGGTATATTCATGTAAATGTGCAGTCAACACATAAAAAACACAACAATCTATACCTCTTACACAAATCCATCATTATTAAACCATATCAAACTGCAGTTATCGAAATTAGAAAGAAAGAAAAACAAAAAAAACTGTCGAATGTATCTTCAACCACTTCCACACGAAGCAGCTACAAATGTATTCAAAACAAAACCCAACCCACATCACATTTTGCCTAAATATGAATGGCTTTATCATAAGTGGCCATAGCAGCCTCCTTAACAGCCTCACTCAATGTCGGATGTGCATGACACGTGCGTGCAATATCCTCACTTGAAGCATCATACGACAACGCTAAAGCCGCCTCATGGATAAGCTCACCTGCATTTGAACACATGATATGAACACCCAAAACCTTATCCGTTTCCTTTTCAGCTATAATCTTCACCAACCCATCCGCATCATCAATCGACTTCGCCCTACTGTTTGCCAACATTGGAAACTTTCCTACCCTGTACGCCACCCCAGACTCCTTAACCTGTTCCTCCGTTTTCCCAACAGACGCCACCTCAGGATGGGTGTAACAAACACCCGGAACCTTATCGTAATCCACATGTCCTTCTTTTCCCGCGATAAACTCCACACACGCAACTCCGTCCTCTTCCGCTTTGTGGGCCAGCATTGGGCCCGGAATCACATCTCCGATTGCAAACACGCCTTTTACATTTGTGGTAAACCGTTTGTCGACCGGAATCCGTCCGATTTTATCGGTTTCGATTCCGATCGTTTCGAGGCCGAGTCCGGAGGTGAATGGAATCCGACCGGCGGAAACGAGAACGACATCGGCTTCGAGGACGGTTTGTTCACCGCCAGATGACGGTTCGACGGTTAGTTTGACTATATCGGTTGAAGTATCGACCGCAACAACTTTTGTTTTCAACATGAATTTCATTTTTTGTTTTTCGAGAATTCTTTGGAATTGTTTACGGATTTCACCGTCCATTGAAGGGACGATATCCGGGGCGAATTCCACCACGGTTACTTCGGAACCAAGGCGGCCCCACACGGACCCCATTTCCAATCCGATGTAACCGGCTCCGATTACGATCAATTTCTTTGGGATTTCGGTTAGGGCTAAGGCTCCGGTTGATGAGACGATTCTTTTCTCATCGATTGTGATTCCGGGGAGGCCTTTGACATCGGAACCGGTGGCGATTATGATGTTTTTACCTTTGACGACTGTGTTTCCGCCGTCGATTGTGTCGACTGAGATTTCGGAAGGGGATAAGAACTTTCCGGAACCTTTTACGTATGTGACTTTGTTTTTCTTGAAAAGGCCTTCGATTCCTTTTGTTAAGTTGGAAATGGCTTTGTCTTTTTGGCCCATCATGGCGGGAAGATCGATTTCCACGTTGTCGAATTTGACACCATGTTTTGCGAAACTGGTCTTGGCTTCGTGGTACATGTGAGAAGAATGAAGAAGGGCCTGAAAGTAAAAAGATAGAAACAAGTAGTGAAGTGAGAAAAATGTAGTTAAATTTCAATATAAATGGATAAAAATACAATTTGCCAACATCTATAACCTTCTCAATTCACTAATTAGTATTTTGGTTTCTCGTTTCTAAGTTCCAATTACACCTACTTAATTGGTAAAATTACTAACTTGAACTGCCTAACCTACAATTGGTGTAAGAAAGAGTTTCACTTTCACCAACCCAAAGTTAGTGTTAGACAATCGTCACATATAGACAAGCATAAGAAAGGAATGGGAACATTATAATCATAACAGAGAGTTTTACTCACTTGATGCAATAACTAATGTAAGTAAGTATATACAACCTTCAAAGGTTAGAGATCTCCACAAGCCACATACAACTATTTTCAACAACCAAGTACACAAATTTCTGGTTCAGTAGTTCTCCAGCAAATACACAAACTTAGACACAGATATTCATCAGATGGACATACACAAACTTGAATGACACAGAAACACTTGGAATCTAAATCAAAAAGAAAAAAGAAAAATTCTAGTCATCCTGATTCGGTACTGTTTAAAGAATTAGGTTTTAAATGCAATAAACAGTGTATACTATAAATTCATATGAATTAGGGATTTATAAGTTAAATTTCACGTATGACTCCCGTATGAAGGACAAGGCCGGGCATACCATCAAAGACACATAAATCACCTAAAGAATACAGAAACCTAGATATAAGAACACATCACAGACACACATATAGACGAAAGTAGATCCAATCGTTCATAGAAACAAAACACAAATACATGAAATTAATAGTAGCAAAAAAAAACCTACCGATGAAAAGAATAAAAGTTGTACCTTAGAAGGAATACAGCCGACATTGAGGCAAGTACCACCAAGAGCACCACGCTTCTCAATACAGGTAGTTTTAAGCCCTAACTGAGCAGCCTTAATCGCGGCGACGTAACCTCCGGGACCTCCTCCGATGACAACGACATCGTTCTCATCGGATCCTGATGCGAATCCTCTTGTGAAAGTAGATGAAAGAGCGAAGGAATACCTTGCGGCATCTGAAGAGACGGTGTTGTTGAACAGATTGATCGCCTTTCGTCTGGCCAAATTCGCCATCGCCATTTTGGAATACAATTGGAAGGTGAATTTGATTAACGAATAGAGTGATTTGAATAACAGCTTGAGTTATGAGCAGCCACCCCCTTTCTCCTTTGTATATTATATTTTCTGGTTCTTGGTGGAAGACGGAATAAGGTGGACGGCGGTCCAGGGTAAGAAAGTTCCTTTTTGATCCGGTCCGTTCATTCAGCTGTTTCGTGTCAAATAACTTTATGACTATGTATATTAAATAAAAAAAATTAATTAAATACCTACAATAAAATTTGTTTAAGATTTTGATATGTATATACTTGCAAATTTCTTTTTTCTTTTTATAAATTTTGAAAAACATTATATATAACTATTGTTACATTTTATTTATGTAGTAATAATAGTATCAAACATGTTTATTGTTTTAGGTTTGCCATTATTTGGAATTTATTTTCAATACAATCATCGGGTGGGTTAAGATGCAATTTTTGCGGGTGAACGTTGACTTCTATACGAAGAAGGGTCCAGATTTTTAATATATTCGGGCAGTCAAACTTGGCTTCTTAACCTTTATAGTGTGGAACATAAGCAATTATAATTTTGCCTTTACTAAATTGAGCTTTTAATTTGCATAAAAGTCGTTATAGCAAAATAATATATAATATATTCTCAACAATATCACATGGTATTTCTTCGTTTTACAAGCTTCCCATGCAATTTGAGAACATAAATAAATAATGAGGTTTTTTTTTTTTTTTTTATTTCTATTCCATGCGTTTCACTCTGTTCATAAACAACACAAAGGGTAAGGATTGGTTGGGGATAAGGTGTATGCTTTGGTTCACACCAAACTTATCAACACCAATCCATTTAAACCCATACATATATCATCTCATCTTATACCCATGGATTCAAAACAACACTCCTTTTCATATATAAATTCAATCAACACCAAATATGACAAAATAAAAAGCATTAAACTTTTAAAATAAAAAAGTCCAAAAACCTCGTAATATCATTAATCAAAACTCTTCATAATTCATTAATTCAATCAGATTCTACTACCAAAATTTCAGGCCACTTTTTCTAACTCGCCTGAAGTAGCCCCACAAACAGACTTTAACAAAATGGTGTATGTAATATTCACATCCTACGTGTCAGTTCTCTCCAAGTAGACTTCTTCTGAGTGTATTTCTTGCTTCTTCACTCATGGCGATGCGTCTGGATTTCGGGCGGGTGGAGCCCACGGGTGATTCGACCCGTTTCTTGAAACAAACAACAATAGCAGTAAGATTATCAGCAGCATGAAGCCTTAAACCTTCTTTCACAAGCTCCATAGCACACCTTTTCGGGTCATTATGCCTCCTTAATTCTCGCCTCACAAGACTCACAGCTGCTTGATTTGACATCACATCCCAAATCCCATCACATCCAATTATCATAAACTCATCATCTTCTTCACTCAACACCATTACACTCACTTCCGGGTTTGCAATCAGGGGAGAATTTGACCCGATTGGTAACTTCAAATACCAGTCTCCAAGGGCCCGCGTAACCGCCAGGTCACCGTCTAAGAACCCGCCTTCAAAGCACCCACCTAACTCCTCCACTCTCTTCTTCTCTTGTAGACAAGACGGTCTATGATCTTGAGACATCGGAATCGCGATTCCATTCCGACATAAAACCGCACGACAATCTCCGGCGTTAGCGATTACCAGATGTTGACCGAGAACTAAAACGGTTAACGCGGTTGTCCCACAGTCATTGTTGATGCTGCATTCGTTGGCTATTGCTTTGTCAGCAAGTAAGAACGCTTTGGAATGGGAATCTTCTAGATCTTTTAAGAATGTTTTGTTTATGTCTGAGGATTGTGGGAAATCGGAATCTTCAAAGAGTAGTTTCATGACGTGGTTTTTGACATATGATGATGCTTCAGAGCCGCCATGGCCATCGAAAATGGCGTAAAAGGAACTTGGGAATGACCATTTGTAAAGATCGCCTAGGTGGCTTGACAGGTCATCGATCCGGATGTGTTCGTCTTCGTTAAATTTGCGGGGCCCGATGTCCGTGTGGCTTCCTGATCTGATGTTCGTTAAATTTACATCCTGTGACAAAGCAAATATATAAACATTAGTGTATATGTATTATCTTTAAACCCTAGAGTGGAAGCTCAGGCTTAACCAAACCCTATTAGAATTGAATAAGTCGGAAACTCGGAATTGATATTGAAATTGGAGTAGAGTCGATTCAAGATTCGAACTAAATAAACCCTATTAGAATTTTAAGAATTAAGGTCTGTTTTCCACGCTTAACATAAAAACTTCAAATCTTCATAGCATAAAACTCGTAACATGTTTTATTTACATTCAAGAACAATAATTCAAGTAAACCCTAATTGCATTAAGAACAAATACGTAGGTACATCGGTAATAGCGTGGCAAGCCCAAATTAATACGAAACAATCAATGATCGAAAGAAAGCAAGAAATCGTAGGCTAGAGGAAAGAAGAATTTACCGAATCAGAAACGGAGACGATATTAATAGAGGCGGAATTTGTATAAGTTTGCTTAGACATGTTCATGTAAAAAACGATTGGGTATTTGTTTGATGAAATTGTGGGAGCTGCTGTATAAGTTTAAAAGGAATTTAATGAAATTAGGGTTTGAACTTTGAACTTTGAACTTTGAGTCTTTGATTGATTTAGCGATGTATAGTTGTATGTGAATATATATAGTAAACGGCTGCGTGTAAACAGTAAAGTAGATCAACTGAAATAAACGCGCTAATTTCGTATTTCTCATCTGATTAGGACTCTTAATGTCATTTTTAGTTAATTGTAAAATGTAAATATCATAAAAATATATATTCTATGGAGGGAAATACGATTTTATTTTTTAATGTACGCGCAATATTATATTAACTTCTATACCATATTTATATTTTGGTAAGATTTTAGTTAGAATCCATATTTATCGATTAATAAAATCGTAAAAATATCTGTAATATTATTTTTAATGTCTACTTTTTTCAGTTTTAATTTATTAAAATAAACATGTGGTATTTAACTAAGTAAAAAAATCTTATTATACCGTATACCTTGCGATTCTTAGATATCAAGGAAATAATATATTGAGAATATTCAAACATAGTCTAAGAATTGTTGATCAATTAATGAATTAATTATAAGTTTTCAAGTTAATAAATACAGAATCTCTAGTTTTTTGGATATAAAATATATACGTTGTCAAGTTTGCTAGTTGCTACTAGGCATTTAAGATTTTAAGTATAACCGGTTTTATTTTTTTTTGATACATGGATAAAAAGTAATTTAAATTTGTGTGCACTTATGATACTTAGATCTAAATTTTTCTTTTTATGATGCATTCGATCATTGAGTTCCAAACAAATTGAATTCTTAACTATAGTTTAACCCTTAACTCAAGCTGAAGTTACTTTTAATTTCATTAAATTTATGATTTAATCGTTTTTAAGTTCGAGTACAAACAGAATTATAAGAATTATAAGATAAACCAGAGTTATATTTAATTACATTTTATCCGTCTCTTTGGCATTTGCAGTTTCTTTAGGTCCATGAGTTTTCTCAAATTATTGATTTCTGTCTTTAATTTTTTTTTTATCTTAGAGTGATGGTTCCTGTGGTTTCAATTTCTTATGTGGTATGTCATTTATCCATATAAAATGACGTTTATACTATTTTCACTATCTTTTATCTTTATTTAATTATTTTTAATATCTTAATAATTATATATTAAAAGTGAAAAGCAGTTGGGCCCACCACCCCACTTTCTCCCATTTAATTACATATCTTTTCATCCATTTTTTTTTCTTCTCTTCCACCGCCTACCACCACATATCGAAGCCACCATAAATGTTACGACAACCTCCCTTCCCCACCCCTTGTCGTCCAACTACAATACAATCACCCACCACACGACCGAACATCTGCAAAAACTCATTCCCGACAATCTCTTTCTTTCTCCATATGGTGTCTTCATCACCAATCCCCCCTTCCTCTCTAATGTCGTTGACAACCATCGAACAACGCAACCCTTCCAATGTCACCTCTACAACATGGACCAGTGTCGCCGACAAACCCATCACACCCACACCCTCCAGCACCACAATCGATCTTCAAACTGAATTGGGTCTATGTTTGTGAAACATGCCCTCTGTAACAACCCAAGAAACAGATATAAAAATTTTCACGTGAAACACCAACAATTTCATTCATTAGTTGTTTCAAAATCCATCACCAAATAAAATATCAAAATATCATAGTACAATTATTCATAATGCGGAAATCATGAGGGATTGATGTTGTGCCATCACGTTGGACCCTTCCCTTTTCAAACCAGAAGTACCTGAAACCATAACATAAACTATAAATAAGCACAAAGCTTATTGAGTTCCCCAAAGTACCACATATAAATCATACAACTGGGCTTAACCTAGTGACATGTTCCAACCCGATATACATATATGGGCCCAACCTTGGGGTGTATTTCAACCTGATCAACGCATATGGGCCCCACCATGGGGTCCCTACCGGGTTAACTCAATGATAAGTCACATGCAAACACTTATAAGTCACATAACAGCTATCATCATACATAACACAATGATGGGTCGGCATTGGCGCCTTTGACCCATTGATACAGTGAGAAAACTCACCTCACAGTCGGATAAAAGCTGAAACAACATGTTGCTCCGGAAAACAACTCTATCGGTCCTCTCTATAAATAACAGTGATCAAAACTCAAACTACAACTCAAAATACCCAAAATACCCCTAGGTCAACTAGGTCAAAATCTTGGTCAAAGCCAAAAGTCAAACAAGTCAACCGGGTTAACTCAGTGAGTACGATGGGCGTACTCAACACGTACGCGGGGCGTACTACTCGTTGACCAGAAGTGGAGGGGCGGACCACGTATGTGCAACGTACCCTTTGGTACGCCCAACGTACGCGTCTGCCAACTTTCCTTTACACTAATGGCTTAATCATTTAAGCCCTTTCACCCAAAATCTAGATCTAACCCTCACAAAATGCCCTTAATCATAAAGTTTCCAACTTCTTGATTTTGCATGGCTAATAAGTGCTCAAATCTAAAAACCCTAACTTCTTAACTCATTAAGACAACCTAGATCATGCATGGAAGGAAACTAATGCCCAAGATCACATTTTTATGACTTATCACA